CAGGAAGCTCGCCACGCCTCCTAATCCCACGCCGCCCATGATACCTCCTATCGCACCAGCTACCAGCGGCGCAGCTAGACCACCGGTCACACCGATGACCGCCGCGCCTGCTACGCTTGCCAGACCGACTTTCCAGAAGCGACTGAACTTGTTTTGCTGTCTTCGCTTCTCGGCCTCTGCCTCGGCAGACATGGTTTCCTTCTTGTCCTTGTCGGTGGTGGACGACTCCATGAGCGAGTGAGCAATCTCGGCCTCCTCCTTGTTCACAAACGTCTGCGGGATTTCGAGCGCCGACGCAAGATGCAGTATCATGGTGCGGGAGTGCGCCGAGTACTTGCCCGTGGACAGAAGCAGCAGCAGCACGCAACTAAGGGCCTCTCGACGATCCTGTGCTGGCGCCGTAGTCAACCTCGTGGGGATGGGGTGGTATAGTTTCTGGAGGGCCGCCACGTCCTCCGACATGTCGACCTGCACGTCGCCGAAATTAATAAGGTTCTCGCCCTCCTCGGGCGTGTCGAGCCTCTTCTTATCGAGGGCGTCTCGGCGGTTTTTGCGCTCCTCTTTGATCTTAGGCGTGTCCTCGACACGGACGATTTCCTCTAGTTTGGGTAAAAAGCTGGCTCTCCATTGTTGCATGTACTTCATGGCTGATTCCTGAATCTGTTCGATTTGCTGTGCCGCCTTGCCGGTTGGTTTCTGGGGTGCCGCTTTTTGAACTGGACTGGGTGACTGGGCATCCTCGTCTGAGCCGGTGAGTGAGCCTAGTTCATCAGAGAGATTGACGAGCTTCATGGTCATGAAGGCGATGATTTCTTCAACGAGACGCAGGAGAGCGGCTCGTCTCGCGGGGTTGAGGGCGATGACGATCTGCCGCGGGTCAGCGCAGAGGGGCGCCATGATGGCAGAGGACGGCTTCTTGATGGGGGCTTGAGGGTCGATTGGTTATGTGGGTGTCATTCAGGGGGGTAGTCTATATTTTCTTGACGGGTTGTATCCGGTTGGTGATGGGTTGGAAATCAGATATTCTGCGGAGGTGAAGGCTGGCTGCCTGAAGCTGGGAGGTTGGGGTTGCCTCTGACTGAATTGGTACGTCATGCGCTGACGAGGCTAGCTCTTGTTGGATCAATCAAGTCTGGTAACAGGCAATGATCCAATGTGTTGTGCATCGAGGCGCAAATGGCACAATCGCGGCCGCCTTGGTTGCATGGCATGAATAGTCAGTGTTGGAAAGGTTGAATGTTTTGTTGCCGACGTTGCGGGAATGACGTCGCTGCGTGCTTTGGTGGGCCAGCTTTGTCACTGGGGACTATGAGTGGACTTTGTCGTATAAACTATCTTCTTTGCTCTGAGCTTGTCCCAAGAGTAAGGCCTCATGACGCAGATGGTTGTTGAGTGTATCCCACATGCAAACAAGCTTGACAAGTCTCGGTCGCAACTTCTCGACGACATACTCGGCTCAGCCGCTTACCGAATCAGTACGCCACAACGACACCCGAAGTATACGGATGAGACTGAAGCTCTGGGAAAAAGAAAGATAAGTTAAATATCAACCATACAATTCTCCTCAACTCTATGCGGTGACGACGACCAAGTCTGTTGCGAGCCTGGATATAAAAATCATGCAGTTGCCCGGGTACAGGGTAGCCAGCATGTTACGCACCCCAGGCCGATATGCTTATCGCAGATCGCCCCACTAAAAAAATCCCCAATGCCATCTTCGCCTGCCAAAAGACCCCATCCCAAACCACCATATCGAATCCCACGATACCCAACGCCCACCATCCTCGTCGCGCGCTGCTCAGGGACACCATGGATGCAAGCGCCCTGCTCACCAGCCAAGGCTGGAGAGGTAAGGGCCATTCCCTCCACAAAACCGACAACTCCATCGGCCTCGCGAAGCCCCTCCTCCTCAACCGCAAAGACAACACCAAGGGCCTCGGAACCACACCACACTTCACCAGCGACCAGTGGTGGATGAACGCCTTTGACGAACAACTCAAGGGCCTCGATACGTCGAAAGAAGGCAAAGTGACACAGACGGTCAAGACGGGCAAACTAAACGCCATTGAGAAGGGCTCCCTGGGCAAATATTCTCTGTATACATCATTTGTCCGCGGGGGGTTTCTAGAGGGGACCTTGCCCACTAGTGAGAGCTCAAGTGACGCCGAGGGCGAGAGCGGCGAGACCCCTGGGACAAGCCAGCCTGAGGCCAAGACGGATAAGAGGGCTCGAAAGGAAGAGAGGAGACGGTTAAGGGAGGAAAAGGCGGCTAGGAGGAAAGAGAAGGAGGAGAAGAGATTGAAAAAGGAGGCTAAACGGCAGAAAGAGGAGGGCGCGTCTATAGAAGCAAGGGGAGAACGGACAACCAGAAGGGAGGAGAGGAGGAGGCTGAAGAAGGACAAGGTACACCCAAAGGCTGAGAGACGGCGGACGAAAGAGGAGCGGAGGGCTAGGAAAGAAACAAAAAGGAGGGAGCAGAGTAAAGTGCAGGTCGCTTGTTGTTGACGGGTTCATTGTTCACATAGGAGAAGGTCTTTGGGACATTGCATAGCATGGCGTTTTTGGTTCGAGTATTGTATTGGCTGGGTAACTTTGATGCCGTTGGCTCGGCCATGCCAAGGTATGTTGCTTCTCTGGAACAGGGCCTGCGTGTTCAGCCATGTCAGTAGCTATCTGTGCTCAAAATATTTTGACCTTAATGTCAATGATTCGTCGCGATTTGGGTCTTATCATATTTGATTCGACGCGTCTTATTGTTCCTTCTTTCAGGATTGGATTTGTCTATGTAGGAGGGGGAAAGCTCTAAGCGAGCTACAATTTGATAATAGACAACAACCAACAGGTGATGCAACTGATGCTGACCTTTGCCACCCACTGCCTCTCGCGTGGATTGTTCTGGTGCGCGGAAGCTCCCGTGATACCATTCTTCCACCTGTGCCTAGTATCTGCCAGGACACCATTGCCTTCATGAAGGAAAAGTTCAAGAGACTTTTACCACATGATTTTGGCTTGACTTGACTGGGGGCAAATATGAATGAGGCCGTCTTATCACGGGGTGCTAGGCGGAAACGAGGTTGCAGAACGTCCCATTTACGACGAACAGAAGCCCGTTAGTGGTGTATGGCTTGTAACCAATCAGTTCGTATTATAGTCCTCATTTTTTGTAATATTGCATATTTTGAGGATCTTGAATACCGAAGCCGTCTCTCGTGGTAGAAAATGGATCTCGCTCTCAATGTCCAGAGTTGTCAAAGTTGATAATCGTCATAGTTCTCTTCATCTGGCCGTTCAAGTAATTTTGGGGTATGCGTGGCGAAACCATGTTGTCTACAAAATTTAGTTTCGTTTCCATTCAAGTCGATCGCCAGGTCTTGCTCTATGTTTCCTTTGGAGCTTTTCCTGGTTTATTCGATAATATCCACGGTCTTCTATCCCAAAAATCATCTTTGATGATGTCCAAGTGCTGTACCACGACCCGCGCCTTAGCCCTTCTCTTTTTATCCTTTTCAGCCTGACTTTTCGATTGTGTTACAGGCTCGGCCAATTCGTCCATCTCTGCAGCAACCGAGTGACTGCCAGGGTCGACTAGTTCATACTGTCGATGTTTGTTAGCCAGAGTAGTCAAATGTAGTTGAAGAGGAAGACGAGGAAGAATTCAAGTACATCTCTGAAGATGACGCTGCCCTTCTTGTATGTTTCCGGTTCGTTATTGTAGTTGATGTGGAATCTAGAAAATAGTATCTCGTTTTTGTCTGCTGCCAAGGTACCCTAACATGTTATCAGACGACATTGGCTTGCAAATAAGCGAATAACGTACGGCGAGTGTTCTTTCAGCATCCTTGTTGTCAAGTCCACCAAGCTGGACAAGGGACCAGAATGTAGTGTTGTACAAATTGTTTATGTGACCTAAATGGTTAGTCGATGCAAGAAGGGTATGATGATGCATGAACATACAGTCTACTTGCCGCCAACTCAAGTAGTCACGTAGATTCTGGACACTTGGGTAACATACTGCTCGGCCATCGAAAGTCGGTAGAGGGAAGGATAGCGGCGTGTCGGGGAAGCATGTGGGCCAAGAAAATACGTAATTCGCTGTGAAGGTAGAGACGATGGTGCTGACCAACTTGCTGCATCGACCTTAATTTTGAACTTTTGCAAACGATTCCGAAGAGTTGCGTACCTCGCACGTCGCTCAAACAAGTCACAAGACTTGTGGAGGACAAAACTATTCAACCCTCAGGCTTGTGCGTATTCATGTGAAGGAACAGGTGTCCTACCTATACTCGTCACTGACACCGTATGCTATGATGATCTCGGGAATATCCGTAACAACGGCCATGGCGGCTACGTTCATGAGATCTAAAGCTCTACGGTCGTTGGGTTTTTGAAAGTTGTACTTTGCACACATCCTGGCATCCGGTGAATCAGACATGTTTGACCAATACGCTAGCCTCTAGGGGGTTGGTACTTTGTGAATGCGCGTCCATCGATTCGAACCACGATCCATGTGTTTGGCAGTAATGGGTCTGGTTGCTCGAAGTTTCGAACATATTCAAACCTTGCGAGGCATCAGCAGTCTCAACGCTACAACGAGTCCACCAGTGTACATCGCTTACTTGGAGTTCGCCATGCTGGCTATGTAACCGCGGGTACCAGCAGTAGTCGTGGAAGATTGACCGTTTTATTATTTTTGGGGTCTGCGGTGAGGAAGTTGAGCTCCCCGCGGTGGGGTCAACCGTGCTGGATCGTTCCTTCCATCAAGTTGGGCTCAATTACCACCAAATGGCAGGTACAGCAGCACCTTGACCCACTCCTATGGCGCCAAACTGAGCCGACGCGGAATTCTTGTGCGCGTCCGCGCTGCCCTTCTACAAAGAGGTGGCGATATGGCCCTTACTTCTCAAGCACGTTAATATACTGCTTGCACGCCGATTGAAGACCATACGCCTTGGACTCCAGCCTCAGAGCCCATTTGATATGATTTCGCGGCAATCGCGACGATGAACTTGCTGCTGTCGGACGACTACCTGCTTCAGGACTATCCTGAAAGCATCACCAACACCATACGATCCGGCCATGCCACGGTGGTTCGATTCAACCGCAAGGGTGACTACCTTGCCTCTGGCCGAGTTGATGGCGCCATCGCTATCTGGGATTTGGAGACGATGGGAGTGGCACGGAAATTAAGAGGCCACAGTAAGAGTATAACCTTTTTGAGCTGGTCACCATGCGGAAGATACTTGCTGTCCACCTGTCAAGGGTGGAAGGCTATTTTATGGGATCTTCAGGACGGCAAGAGATTGCGCGAGGTGCGCTTTCGCGCGCCAGCGTATATGGCTGAGCTTCATCCTTGGAATCAGTGAGTTCGTTGCTTAGACAACTTGCGCGCAAGTGGCTAACCGAAGCAGCCTGCAGTTCGTTGCGTCGCTCTTCGAAGAACAACCGGTTTTAGTAGACATGACCGACCTTGTCGATGTCAAGCATATCCTTCCATCTGTGCCCAAGAGAACGAATTCTGAAGGAAGCGCTGCGCAAAAAGAGAAACAAGCGAAAGAAGACGCCAAAGAAAAGACGACGTCGGCTATTTGGACCTCGACCGGCGACCACATCATTGCCGGCACAAGTAAGGGCAAAATCAACTTCATTGATACAAAGACTTTTGAAATCATTTATTCAGAGAAAGTTTGCTCTGGAGTTATCACCACGCTGCGCATCACTGGCGCCGGTCGCGACCTGCTTGTCAACTCGCAGGACCGCATTATCCGCACTTTCAGAATACCCAATCTCTCCGTAGACGACTTGGATCTCGACACAATACAATTGCCCCTCGAACACAAATTTCAAGATGTCGTCAACAAGCTGTCATGGAATCACGTCACATTTAGTGCGACGGGCGAATATGTAGCCGCATCGACCTACAACAATCACGAGCTTTATGTCTGGGAACGCAATCATGGGAGCTTGGTATGCATGCTTAAGGACCCAAAAGAAGAGCAAGGGGTCATTGAATGGCATCCGTCACGGGCGCTTCTCGCAGCCTGTGGATTGGAAACAGGTCGGATATACATCTGGTCCGTCATCAGTCCTCAAAAGTGGTCAGCGCTGGCCCCAGATTTTGCTGAAGTGGAGGAGAACGTCGAATATATTGAAAGAGAGGATGAGTTTGATATATATGCACAGGAAGAAATTCATCGACGACGACTTGATGCGGAAGACGAAGACGTGGACGTCCTCACGTTGGACCCTACCAAGTTTGATGACGATATCGACAGTTTTCGTATGCCTATTTTGTTTAACCTTGGGGAAAGTGATAGTGAGGACGAGTTTATTGCTGTATCAACCGGCACAATGAGACGTAGGAGCCCTGGCGAGGGCCAAAGCGACATCGACGGGCCTGTAGACACGGTGACCACGAAGAAGGGCGGCACTGCCAAGGGCGGCCGGGGCAGAAAAAGATAGCTCTCCCCTGAAACGAAACGTATTATAACAGCTTTCGGGGAACAGTTTCCAGGCAGGAAGGCCAGAAGGCATCACAAACTTGTTCCACACGCCTCGTGATCAGTCAAAGCTTAGGCTGCGCGACGGTACATTCCAAGTCAGATTCATTCAGTTCTGCACTGGACAATGGCCAGTCCATATTCACCAAATAGACATTGGGGATATTTTATCGCTGGGATTATACAACCGATCGACGAGCTATATCACCGAAAACTCATCTCGACTCTGATGGACCAAAGTGGCGAAGGATCAGGGACCTGGAAATATTACCATGTAACCAAAGAGATGCAATGCACGCCATCTATGCTAGGATTACAATACGCAGTGGAGCGTAGAGACGACATCGTCTACGAGTTTTGGTTTTTGTTTAGCGCAGATAGCATCAAGTTCCGCAGCATCTGCCAGCTCCTTGCAGGATAACGGGCTTGGGTAGTGAATGGAACCAAAGTCATTGAAACACCATTACCCTTGATTGGTTACCCTTTGTTGTCGGCCCGTAAAGGTCTGTAGACGATTGCACAGACTTTGTTTGGAACTCTTCACAGCCACACAAAGGCGTTTGTTGACAAGGGATATCTTTAATACAGAATCAATACTCAATGACGCATTACCCGTGACGAGGCAAAGGACGGATAGACGCGTGATAACAGACGAGTACGTTGAATTGGACAGGCTGTAGCTGATTGAGACTCCGGATTGTCTAAATTGAGTGGTGTTTGAGGTGTTTGAGTCACCGGCGATGCGCACTATAAATCATTGGCTGAGAGGCTGCGGATGTTGATGCGAGCTGTCAAAGTCGAAGCTACAAGACCTTGTGCTAGTGTGGACGGCCTGACAAAAAAAGGCAGACATCTTGATTGACGAACTGTGTGGGCATGTTCCTCCTGAACAGATTAGTCAGTCGCCTGATGAATGCCCTCCAAGGTCCCGCTACCTCCGAAAAATACTTGCCTTAGGCATCACATTTATGGCGCAGGGGCATCTCTGCACCCAAATAGGCTTAGCGGTGTAGACGTGTGCCAGTCGCCTCATCTAGATTCTTTCCACGCCGCCCTCCAGTTCTCCCGCCTTTACCACGACAAAACTTTGCCTGCCAGCCAAAAGTCATCACCACGCGCGTCGGACATCGGGCGCAGCGCTGTGAAGCACGTTTCAAGGTGCTATACGATACGAATATTCGCGTTTGGACGACTTGGACGACTCTACGAGCGGTGGCGACGGAGGAGAGCATCTGAGGGTCTCCTGGGCCGTTGGCCAGGGCGAGCGCAGCATTCGGGCGCCATCCGCCATTCGTGCACAAGAGATTTTTTCATCGACTGGGACGTTTACGGACATTGTTAATCGGCTTGACTCTCTTTCTTTGCGTGTTTTTCTTCGCGATTCCCCCGTTTGTCGCTGCGGCTGCGTGTCGCGTATATCCAACGAGACCACCTTCGGTCAGCCCGATCGCCTAAACAATCGTTGTCCTCGACGAGCCTTTCACCAACCGCAACCATGGCGAACTATCACCCTCCATTCTCTAGCGCGCCGCTCAAGACGGTCGAGGAGATTCAGTTCGGTTTGATGTCTCCCGAAGAAATCAAGAACATGAGTGTTTGCCACATTCTCTATCCCGAGACAATGGACGAGAGTCGCACCAAGCCACGTGATGGTGGGCTCAACGATCCTCTTCTGGGTTCTATTGATAGAGGGTTCAAGTGCAAAACCTGTACGCAGTCTATGAGTGACTGCCCTGGTCACTTTGGACATATCGAGTTGGCCAAACCCGTGTACCATCCTGGTTTCATTAAGAAGGTCAAAAAGATATTGGAGATTGTCTGCCACAACTGCAGCAAGGTGTTGGCCGATACTGTTGGTCTATCCTGACTCTCCGTAGGCTTTTTGTGAACTTCTTGGTTGCTAACACACAATTTTCTCTCTCAGAGCGATTCCGAGTTTGTCACCGCAATCAACACGCGAGATGCTAAACTACGCTTCAATCGTGTCTGGGCAGTCTGCAAGAAGAAGCGGAGATGTGAAAACGAAGATCGTAACGAGAAGAACGACGATGAGTTTGCTCCGGGCATGAAGCCAGTCGCACACAACCATGGTGGTTGCGGAAACGTGCAGCCGCAGGTCCGACAGGCGGCTTTGCAGCTCAAGGCTGCGTTCGATGTTGCGCAAGAGGACGGCCCCAAGCGGCGAGAGACGGTGCCGATTACTCCAGAGATGGCTCATGGTATTCTGAGAAGAATCTCGGAGGAGGATCTTCGGCACATGGGCCTTAACTCGGACTATGCTCGCCCAGAGTGGATGATTCTCACTGTGCTTCCTGTCCCCCCACCACCTGTTCGTCCCAGTATTTCCATGGACGGTACTGGCACCGGCATGCGAAATGAAGACGATTTGACCTACAAGCTTGGTGATATTATCCGTGCCAACGGTAATGTGAAGCAGGCTATCCGCGAAGGATCACCTCAGCACATTGCGCGTGATTTTGAGGAGTTGCTGCAGTACCATGTGGCAACATACATGGACAACGACATTGCTGGACAACCGCGGGCGTTGCAAAAGAGCGGCCGTCCAGTCAAGGCTATCAGGGCTAGGTTAAAGGGTAAAGAAGGCCGCTTGAGAGGCAACTTGATGGGCAAGCGTGTGGATTTCTCTGCGCGTACTGTCATCACTGGTGACGCCAATCTGTCTCTTCATGAAGTTGGCGTTCCTCGCAGCATTGCCAGAACTCTCACCTATCCCGAAACAGTCACACCTTACAATATTGGCAAGCTGCACCAACTCGTAGAGAACGGGCCGAACGAACATCCTGGTGCCAAATACGTCATCAGAGCCGATGGTACTCGAATTGATCTGCGCCATCACCGACGAGCCGCCCAGATATCTCTGGAGTATGGTTGGAAGGTTGAGCGCCATTTGATGGATGGTGACTACATTATTTTCAACCGACAGCCCTCTCTGCACAAGGAATCCATGATGGGTCACCAAGTTCGTGTCATGCCTTACTCAACGTTCCGACTGAACTTGTCTGTCACTTCGCCCTACAATGCTGATTTTGACGGTGACGAAATGAACTTGCACGTCCCGCAGACTGAAGAGACACGTGCCGAAGTCAAGGAGTTGTGCCTTGTGCCCAACAATATTGTCTCTCCTCAAAAGAACGGTCCCTTGATGGGTATTGTGCAGGACTCTCTTGCTGGTGTTTACAAACTCTGCAGACGAGACACCTTTATCGACAAGGAAATGGTCATGAACATGATGCTCTGGGTGCCTAATTGGGACGGTGTTATTCCTCAACCAGCCATTCTCAAACCGCGGCCCCGCTGGACCGGAAAACAGCTCATTAGCATGGTTATTCCACAGGAGATTAGTCTGCATGCCCCCGAAGGTGACTCTGATATCCCCCCCAAGGATACCGGGCTCCTTATCCAGAGTGGCGAGCTTCTGTATGGTCTTCTGAAAAAGAAAAATGTTGGTGCGGCAGCTGGTGGTATTATTCATCTGTGCTACAATGAGCTCGGCCCTGAAGGTGCCATGGCTTTTCTGAATGGTGTCCAACAAGTTGTCACTTATTGGCTCCTGAACACCGGTCACAGTATCGGTATTGGAGATACTATTCCAGACAAGCAGACCATTGAAAAGATTCAGGTTCACATTGACACCCAGAAGGCCGAAGTCGCCAAGCTCACGGCCCAGGCCACGGCAAACGAGCTCGAAGCCCTGCCCGGTATGAATGTCCGAGCTACCTTCGAGAACAAAGTCTCCATGGCTCTCAACTCCGCTCGTGACCAGGCTGGTACCACCACACAGAAAAGTTTGAAGGACTCGAACAACGCCGTAACCATGTCGGAATCTGGTTCCAAGGGATCCTCAATTAACATCTCACAAATGACAGCTCTCGTCGGCCAGCAAATTGTGGAAGGAAAGCGTATTCCGTTCGGTTTCAAGTACCGAACATTGCCCCATTTCACAAAGGATGACTATTCTCCTGAAGCACGTGGCTTTGTCGAGAACTCTTACCTTCGTGGTCTCACACCCTCTGAATTCTTCTTCCACGCCATGGCTGGTAGAGAAGGTCTGATTGATACTGCTGTCAAGACTGCAGAGACAGGTTATATTCAACGACGACTTGTGAAGGCCCTTGAAGACTTGAGCGCTCGGTATGATGGAACTGTACGAAACTCGCTGGGTGATATCGTCCAGTTTCTCTATGGAGAAGATGGTCTCGATGCCATGTGCATTGAGAAGCAGAAGCTCGGTATTCTCAAGATGTCAGATGCTGCGTTCGAGAAAAAGTATCGTCTGGATTTGGCCAACCCACCAGATTGGTTCAAGAAGGATTACGAGTATGGCAACGAGTTGGCCGGTGACAAGGAATCGATGGATCTGCTCGATTCTGAATGGGAAACACTGCTGTCTGACCGACAGACTGTGCGGCTCATCAATAAGTCTAAGATGGGAGAGGAGATGATGCAGCTTCCGCTCAACATTGGTCGAATGATTGAAACTGCCAAACGAGTTTTCAATGTTCGCGCCACCGACCGTAGCAATTTGCGTCCTGCCGATGTTATTCCAAGGATACAAAACCTCCTGAGCGAACTCAAGATCGTGCGAGGATCAGATCCAATTTCGGCGGAAGCAGACATGAATGCCACGATCTTGTTTAAGGCTTTGGTTCGCTCTCGACTTGCTTTCAAGGAGATTGTCAAGGTTCATCGCCTGAACAAGCTTGCATTTGATCATGTCCTTGGCGAGCTTCAGAACCGTTGGGACCGTTCCTTTGTCTCTCCCGGTGAAATGGTGGGTGTTCTTGCTGCCCAGTCGATTGGTGAACCTGCCACTCAGATGACACTGAACACATTCCACTTTGCTGGTGTGTCGTCCAAGAACGTCACTCTTGGTGTTCCCCGTCTCAAGGAGATTCTTAATTTGGCAAAGGATATCAAGACGCCTAGCATGGCAGTTTACTT